CCGAAATATATCAATTTCTGACAATTATGGCGAAAGTTTACACAGCGGTATGTATATTTGAATCATATATTTTTAAAAAATCTTATAATTAAGTGATTACATTAATAATGATTAAATTTAAGGTGATTCCTATAAGTTGGGCGCTAATGGAAAGGAAAACAACAGCAGCATATGTTTCGGTACTTCAAAACTTAAAAGAGCATCTAGCTCCCCACATTCAGCCAACTGTATTTTCTATGGACTACGAAGTTGCTATCGCTACTGCAGTTTTAACCATATATCCCACAGTTTCAATTCAACGCTGTTATTTCCATTTTTCACATGTCTGTTTTTTCAACATTACATATAATTTTTTATTAAACACTACTCAATACTTATATAATTTTATAAAAATTTTTTATAAATTTCAGGCGTTATTTAAACAATTAACGAGCAAGGGTGCATCATTTATGCAAAAATTTTACGCTTGGGATGAAGGGAAAATTTTTTTTAGAAAATTAATGGCCATTCCATTACTACCGGTTGATCACATCCGTGATGCTTTCACATGGTTGAAATCTACCAGTACAGTACAAATTCAACATGCGTTCGGTGACATTATGGGTTATTTTGAGAATTATTGGTTAAATAGAGTCAAACCCGAAAAATTTTGTGTATACCAAGTAACACACCGAACAAATAATTTCATAGAAGCTACCATAAAGTGCTGTTAACAAGAATAGGAAGTCATCCAGCTATTTGGCAGTTTTTAGGTGAGACATTAATTTTGTCAAAAACTTTAAAATCTTCATTATTAATTTATTATCATTCTCAGGACCGCTTGAACAGGTCCACGGTATTACTCGAAATGAATTAATGAGTCTTCGACTAGGCAATAGAATAAGAAGACACCGAGAAACCAAATACATAATCAAAGAAAAATTATTGAAAACGTGCTTGGGCATTATATGATAATAATTTGCAGAATATTTCACGATTTTTGGCATGTGCGAATCATTTTTCATCGGCCTTTAACAATCAAGCTCAAATTACAGAAGTTGCACAAGTCGATTATTTTTTTATAAATGCTCCACTTCATAATACTGGTAAATATTTATTTTACTGTGCATATTGTTTATTGTTTTTATACATATAACATAATGTATGACAAGTAACAAGACTAAAAATCATTAATTTCATATATATTAATTGGCTATAGCCAATCACATAGTAAAACCACCAGATGTATTCTTATTAGTTGTTGGAGACATAATTGAAGTACAAAAAAGCAAATCACCACCGTTTGATAAAAATAATATGGATATTTTTGTGCGTAAGTTTGATTTATTTATCCTTATTCGAACAAAGTAATTAAATTTATCTGTAGTAATCAATTTACAATGCTCAGATTATTGACTTCAATTTTTTAACATGTTTTTAAAGAGATTTTATATACAATTTTATGTTTAGTGACAATCTACAACTATCGAAATGTATTTTGTGTCAAGAAAATGTTTGTAATTTCATCGCAATGCCATGTTGGCATTGGTTACTTTGTGAAACATGTGTAAATAAGTTGATATTTGTTGCAAAAAAGAACAATGCATATTTACGATGTCCAATATGTATGGAGATAATAATTGCAGTCACAAAACAAATCGTAAGTACTTTGAATGTTTCGAAAGAAGGAAATGATTTGTAGAAATTAATATCGTATTATGATTGTTACAGATTACTTGATTTACATCTTTTTTAATCTGTTCTCGATCTTATATGTTATAAATACCATGATTGTCATTACATTCTTGTAATTAAATGATTATATGAATTGACAAGATATTACTTTGGCTTCAATACGTTTGTTAATTTGAATCACACGAATAGGTACTGTTCGTACTCGTCTCCGTTATGATTGAAAAACTGAGTAATATGATCTAGATACTTCAGAAAAATTATTAAAGATTTCTCATACATGTATGATAACATGAATTATGATTATAAACTATATAAAAAGTAAGATTTTGTATGTTTCATTAATTGTTAAAAATTTATTTAATCGAAATTGCGAATTACTCTAATTTATTGCTTTTCTCTTATTTTTTTTTATTATCATCGTATATTAATGTTGAACTAATCAACAAAAGGTGTTGTCTCCCCTCTTCTGCATTTCTCTACACTTCCATTCACATAGGGGATAGTAGGAGGTTTTACTGAATTCAGATGAACGATGCAGCATTTCAGACAACACAGACTCGACAGTGTCAATGAAAAAGTCCATTATACTGATGTTAAACTGCAGCCAAAATATTTGTCGTTTTAGAAAATTATAAATTTAACTAAAATCAATTTAACTTTCTACGGCATCTTTTTTATTACTGTAAAAACTAAAGTTTGTAAGCAACCATCTGACTAATGCATACCAAATATTATTTAAAAAATATAAATTATTTACAACATTGCTTAATCAACTAAATATTAAAACAATCAATTGAACGGAAGGGGTGTTACCTTTACCGGTTACGAGGTAAAGGAGGAGGATGTATTTTCTTCGCTTAAACATTGGTTGAGCTATGTCCCCCCACTATAAACCTGGCGAAGTAGGGACAACACAACTGAGCTTCATTCAGTCATATGACATTCGTGAAAGTCGTAGAAGTATTGTCAGTCTAACCACTCGTTTTTAGGCTAATTTTTCATACGAAGATATCAGTATTACACGTATTTTTTTTATTGTGTTTTTTGTAACATTATAAAATGCCCACAACACGGTCAAAAAATTCAAGAGCAATCAAAAGTGCCCTTCAAAGTTCAGGACGATGGATATTGCTATATGCACAATAAAACATATAAAGATGTCGTGTAAGTAGTACCGTTTAGCAACGTTATGTTTAAAACATTTCTTTAATAAATAAATATTTTAAACACCTATTACTGTACGTGTATGATAATATTGTCGGATTTTTTTCTATACTCCTCATCACCCCTCTGATTGTGATGTGATCTCCTACCCACCATCCTATCCTTTATGATAGTAAATTGTGTAATTAGAATATTTTTTTCTTCTTTTATAATTATATATTTACATTCATCTTTACCAGTGGTGTGAATAAGACTCATGATTAATTATTTTCAAATTTGTATTTTCATTATCTTATTAATCTCGCCACATGCCCTTTTTATATTCTGCACTTCTCCTTTGATTTTCATGAATATCGTCTTTTTTTGTAGGCATGCTACATTTGTAATAGAATATCGATATCGTTATTAACAAAATAACAATTATAATCGACTATAGTTACAAGATCAAACGTTGAAACTTCCAGCTTTATACTCGCACAACAGTTAATTAATTCTTTTGTTTTTATTAACAGGTATGTTGTGTGCCGTGACCGACTAACACACCAGTGCCTTGGCAAAGGGATAATCAAAAATAATATTTTTACATGCACTACACAACATTCACACATCAAAGGACGATATGAGCATGAAAGAGAAGTATTTTTGAATGAATTATATCTGGCTTGTTCTTCTCAGTTATGTAAAGTGAAATACATATATGACAATTTAGCATTATTGTAAGTATCTATTACGATGATTAAATTCTATTGATTGAGTAATCTGTTCATTTATGTAGACATGAAGAAGCAGCGCAATTGGAGCCCTTCGGTAAAATCGAGTATTCCATGCGCCGATGGCAAAAAGAAATAAAATTGCCACAATATGATTCATATGGCTCTTTTTTTAATATTTTTCAAGATGATAAATGGAAACAACTGAAAAAGCATGAAGCTAATTCATCTCTTGAAATAAATTTTTATGAAGAATCGCAGTCTACAGCTTTGGTATTTACTGATCCAGCAGTGATTACAGCTATTAGTGATACAAATACTTTATACATTTCATCAATTCAAGACGATTACTACTTACAATCTAACGATATCCAGGAAATGATTATAATAACAGCAATTGTTGGAAATTATGTAGGTGTTTTTTTCTTTCATTTATTAATTTTTGGAATTACCCGATGATGACATTATCATCAATTTAATCGATATTTGTTTCAGTCATTCTTCTATCTTATAGCGTGTATCAAGAATGGTGGTAGTGATGCAATTTATAGGCGTATAATTAATAGGATTGTACCTCATGTTTCCCCGGTTCTAACGATATACACCTGTTATAATGCAAGTTTATTCGTTACTCTGAAGCAGTTATTTCCCAAAGCATACATTCATCAGAGTTTTTACGAATATTGTAAGGTACGATTACAAAATGAATATCTTATATTGTTTTATGGAATATTTAGTAACATTAAACTCACAATCTTACATTTTTTTTGTTATAAAAGTATTGTGTTCAAATATTTTCATATATACTTTCAGATGATATATAGAGAATCTGTCATATTTGATATAAGAAACACCGAAGTATCATCAGAAATTATGAAAAAAATCCTTGCTCTACCTCTGTTTCCAAGAGAACAAAGAAACGAAGCATTTAAATCGGTTTGCGGAATCAATGTACTCCAATACAGTGGGTTACCGTGAATTTTTTGAAAATTATGAACGCAATTGGCTTCATGATATAAACATTTCGGTCCTTAATACTAATGAAGCAGTAGCAGACTGTCAAAGAGCTGCTTTGCAAGAATTAAAGAATAAAGTCAAAGTAAACCCTAATCTGTGGGATATTTTTAGTATGTGCAATATTTATATTAATTTATTAATTAAGAATGAATCATTATGACAATGATTTCTATGAGTTTTATTTCACAGAATATATGCGTGAACAAAGTGTGAAATGCCTAACCAATTTAGAGAAATTGAGAATTCGACGGGTTATAGCCAGAGATTTACTCGTAAGACCATTACTCGGCAAAGCAGTACTAAATGTGGAACACGAGGTAGACATTGATACATTTTTCACAACTGCTGTGGCAATGTTGTATGAAGTCTGGGGTACATTAGTATATAATAATGAAAGAGAAAAACAGCTTGCCGCAGGACTTCCAGATCAACATAATGACGGTATTGCCTTAATTCTTTTTTATAAGAAAAATTTTGATAAAGTCATATAAAAATCTACTATTTGTCATTGCTATCATTATAATCCATCACAAGTATCAATTTTAGTAATAAAAGTTTATCAATTTCAGATGATGACGAGGAAAAAGATCAATTAAATACAGACGAAGCTACTAGTGGTAAGATTTTAAAATACATGCTCTACTTTTCTTTATTCAAGACAATTATTAAATATTCATCTTGTCATAACCATGACTGACAGGTATACTTCATAAAAGTTCTTTGATTTCAGGTGATGACCAAGACACAGATCAATTGAATACAGACAAAACTACTAGTGGTGAGATTTTAAAATACATGCTTTACTTTTCTTTATTCAAGACAATTGTTGAATATTTATCATGTCATAACCATGACTGACAGGTATACTTCATGAAAGTTCTTTGATTTCAGGTGATGACCAAGACACAGATCAATTAAATACAGACAAAACTACTAGTGGTAAGATTTTGAAATACATGCTTTACTTTTCTTTATTCAAGACAATTGTTGAATATTTATCATGTCATAACTATGATCAACAGGTATACTTCATGAAAGTTCTTTGATTTCAGGTGATGACCAAGACACAGATCAATTAAATACAGACAAAACTACTAGTGGTAAGATTTTGAAATACATGCTTTACTTTTCTTTATTCAAGACAATTGTTGAATATTTATCATGTCATAACTATGATCAACAGGTATACTTCATGAAAGTTCTTTGATTTCAGGTGATGACCAAGACACAGATCAATTAAATACAGACAAAACTACTAGTGGTAAGATTTTGAAATACATGCTTTACTTTTCTTTATTCAAGACAATTGTTGAATATTTATCATGTCATAACTATGATCAACAGGTATACTTCATGAAAGTTCTTTGATTTCAGGTGATGACCAAGACACAGATCAATTAAATACAGACAAAACTACTAGTGGTAAGATTTTGAAATACATGCTTTACTTTTCTTTATTCAAGACAATTGTTGAATATTTATCATGTCATAACTATGATCAACAGGTATACTTCATGAAAGTTCTTTGATTTCAGGTGATGACCAAGACACAGATCAATTAAATACAGACAAAACTACTAGTGGTAAGATTTTGAAATACATGCTTTACTTTTCTTTATTCAAGACAATTGTTGAATATTTATCATGTCATAACTATGATCAACAGGTATACTTCATGAAAGTTCTTTGATTTCAGGTGATGACCAAGACACAGATCAATTAAATACAGACAAAACTACTAGTGGTAAGATTTTGAAATACATGCTTTACTTTTCTTTATTCAAGACAATTATTAAATATTCATCTTGTCATAACCATGACTGACAGGTATACTTCATAAAAGTTCTTTGATTTCAGGTGATGACCAAGACACAGATCAATTAAACACAGACGGAGCTGCTGTTGGTAGGTTTGCTAATAGTTCTCGTTTGTTATCCAATCATACGTACTTGTCCTAAATATTATTACTGTTGCAGAAATTATTAACGACGACTACGATGCTGAGTATCCAAATGGCAACTTTTATTATTTATATAAACGTATGTATTATCGAATATGATTACAAATGAAGTATATCATCGACGCATCTTGTAAACGTCTAACACATAAAGTAAATTCATTTCATATCTTGTTTTTAGCATATTGCATCGATAAATTTAGAGCAAATAAAATTCATCGAAGAATATGTAAGTGATATATTTGGCTACAGATTTTTTTAATAATAATGGGTAACTATTAATTGATATTTTCTAAATTCTAGTGGTTGATCACGACTTTTCCAATAACAACTGCATAAGATGCAACAAATTGGCACAGTATAGGCTGTTACCATGTCATCATTATCTATGCAGAGCCTGTGCTTGTATTTTATTAATGAGAGTTGAGTTAGGATATTACTTGAAATGTCCTAAGTGTCATCTTGAATCAACCGATGTAGTGTAGGATGATTTACACTTATAACAGTATGCACTACAATTTGAAAACTTTGTCCGAGTTTTTAGTTAAACTTAATATTAATAACTTATATTTTTTTATTTCTTTAACTCATTTGATTTCTTTGGTATGTACCATATTTGCGATACATCATTTAGATTTTAAGTTAAAATTAAAATTATTATTTGAAAATTTATATCTTTTAACTCATTTTGATTTCTTCTGTATGTACCATATTTGCGATATGTCAATTAGATTTTAAGTTAAAATAAAATTAATATCTAAAAATTTCTATCTTTCAACTCATTTTGATTTCTTTTGTATGTACCATATTTGCGATACGTCATTTAGATTTTAAGTTAAAATTAAAATTATTATTTGAAAATTTCTATCTTTTAACTCATTTTGATTTCTTTGGTATGTACCATATTTGCGATATGTCAATTAGATTTTAAGTTAAAATAAAAATTAATATCTAAAAATTTCTATCTTTCAACTCATTTTGATTTCTTTTGTATGTACCATATTTGCGATACGTCATTTAGATTTTAAGTTAAAATTAAAATTATTATTTGAAAATTTATATCTTTCAACTCATTTTGATTTCTTTTGTATGTTCCATATTTTCGATACGATAAATTTTAGTATTGCCTGTACTTTACTCCATATCCATATGATAATACCATTTTTACTTATGAAAACTACTTTATCGAGGGTTGAATGAATCACTGCCTGTAAAAAAATTTTTTTCGGTATAATACATATTCAGAACATTATACAATTCGATACAATATAATATTCGGTTTAATAAACCATTCGAAATTTTATTTACATCGAGGCTTTGCAGAATTCGATACACTCTATATTTAGTGACAATACTCGTTCAGAGCTTTCACTTTTCGAATTTATACCGTATTCGAGACAATCATTTTTCGAGGTTATGCTACATTCGGGACTTTAGCCTTCTGGCCTTCCGCATACAACCCCTTTAAAGACAATAGCGGGAAAATTTTTACATTTTAAATTATTAATTCGATAGAAATTGATCGAAATTATTCGATAGTCTATAATAATCGAATTTATAATTCGATTTATACAATGATCGATTTCATATTCATTTTAACGATCGTCAACTGTTTCATCAGATGATTTAAAATCTATAAAAACAATTGGCATCTAAGGTAAGGATACTGCCATAATTATTTTTCGTATTATATTCTGTTAAAACATTTTTTCTCCTAGAAACCGTAGCTCTTGGAAACTCCCGGGCTTTGTCAGATCACATTCAAAGTGTTTTTAATTGAATAATCGAACAAAAATGAGTGATGATGAGAATAAAAGTTTTGTTTACACGGGAATTGAATCGATTTTCGTAAAATCTCCAATAATCAGCTTACAACCGAGAAGAAAATCGAAAAAAAAATTTAACCCCCATAATAGTAAGTATCTTTAATTATTTCAAATAAATTATTTTACTTTATTTCTTTAATTATTATTTTCATAAACAGTATGAACATTTACAAATTCTTAAATGTTTCTTTCTTGGTTATTTTTGTGTAAATAGTACTTTTAAAAATTTATTTGTTATTTTGATTAATTAATAGTATTTTTGTTATGAAGCTAAGCAAAAATAATATTTTCAATATCATTCGTAGAAATCTAAAATCAGGCTGAAGCGCATCGATAAATATTGGAGCCTCTTTATTCTCGTAGAACCCGCGTTGTCAGCGCTCTCTACAGTATTCTCCTCTTCCTCAGCTCCTGTTTATAGATATTTCTTTTGAAATAAACCTTAACTTTAATTAATCAAAAGGTGTATAACATAAACTTGATTTCGTTTATAAATTATTTATTTATTAATCAACAATTACGTTAATTTTAAAACAACATAGTGCAAAAAAATTCAGTGTCATAATGCGGGTTACAAGGGTTGTCTTATATATGTCAGCGTAGTAATACAAACATGTCTTCTGAACATAAAGTAGTTCCCTGGTGATATAGTTTAACAAATCGCATAATATTTTATTTAAATGTTATTTTGTTAATTGTTATTTTAAATTAATTTAAACGTCACTTAGTAGCTGATTGAGGCAATGTGTAATTATAAATTGACAATAAAGATGATTTCATTGTCAAAAATACGATCATGGGTGACGGTGTATCGCGGTCAGTGATGCCGTAGCCAAGGAGACCGCAACAGCAGACAACTGACACTCCGACCGGTCGTCGTCAACCATAATATCCATTAGTGTAAGTTGAATATTTCCACATTCCGCTTTTCCGCGTGGTTTCCCGGGTGACAGTCAGGGCCGGCACACGGAAAATATCCACGACATTGGATGTGCAATTCCACGAGGCCGTGCAACTGCTAAAGGACATCAAGGCACGGCCACTCGCCATTCATGAAGACAGGTGAGGTGATAACAATTTGCGACTGATTTTAGGTACCTGACATACGCAAATCATCCTTACAATGCACTCAATTTACTATAATACTCTAAACATTATCAACTTTAATATTTTTTACACTTTTTTCATATTTTTCTTTATCCACACTTTTGGGTTAAAGCTCTTTTTTAGTTCATCAGTGATAAGGATTTTTATATTTATTGAGAAAAACGTACCATATTCACTCATGTGACGTCCTTTTTATTAATAACACTTTTAGAGAAGTATTATACATTTTTCTTTTTCATTTTTTATCTTAGATATTCAATAATTGTCTTATTTCAACTAATATCAGTAAATAAGATGATTTTTTATTTATTACTTACTACAAAATTTATTATTAAATTTTTAAAATTAATTTTTACAGAATGTATGAATTACACAGTCAGTTTTTTTATTCTAAAAATCATCAATGGATGAATCACAATAAAAAAATGTTGGCAAATAATTGAAATTGGATGGTACAATAAAATAAGTGAATACACACAACACCTAAGAATTTGTATGAACAGATACAGATAATGCTTCCTTTTGGTAAAAGTCCCCCAACAAATGCATTGTATGTGGCTACTGAGAAAATTCAATGCATGGAAGCTTTAGAAATTTCCTAATTAAACTAGACCTATTGATTGCACGAATGTGATCTTTGAAGCATGATAATATTGGCAAATAGTATTGAATTACCCTGAAGAATTATTGATAAATCTTTAATATTGCAAAAAGCATCACATTAAAAGTATCCACTATTATGTTATCCACTTTGTTTATTTTGTTTTTGCTTGTTGCACAAGAGTATTTTCTTCTTCTAGTTTTACTTAAGTTCGTTTTTATATTTAACAACACTTACGTCAATATTTGAGATAATAATTTCATCGGATATTATGATTCAATTACTGCAATTTCGCGATATTTTTATTAGAAATCCAATATTCATCATCATCTTGTCTATTAAGTTATTTTATAATTTTTTAATTCAATATCAGATATTCTACTATTATGATAAATTCTTGGGTCACATAAAGTATTTATGAATTTATTGAATTTAATATTGAAATATTTCACATAAGAACGTATCAAGTTTATTGCATATTTTATGTAAGACCAGAACAGTAGCAATATTGATGATAATAAAAATAAAAAAAAATTGTAAGGTATGAGAATTCACGGTATTCATGACATTGATGGGACTTCGTCGACAAACGTTCTTTTGAAACCTGTAAGGGCACATTTTATTCTTCAATTCTTTGCTTTTGTATTCATGTAGATTTCGTCCAAATTCAAACGGTTGAAACAACGTTAAACACAAGCTGTATTTTACCATTTGTTAATGATAGGGGATGGAATGGTATCAGGAAGTAGTGAAATAACGGGGGGACAAAAAGACGAACGTCAGGGTGTACTACCAGGCACCAGCCATGCATAACAGACCAGGTGCAACATGAACATTCTTTTTGACTATGCAGTTTTTCATGACGTTTAGTTTGTCTTGTACTTTCAGTAAAGTATCTGTCATTTCTGATCGTTTAAAAATTGCTCTAATAGCTTGAATGATGTTTAAAAATAAATATCACAATGGAAGTAATGTGGCATATTCAGTAAAATCAATAGTGATTGTGAGAAGACAGTTAACAAGTGCTAGATATTTGTAAAAATATATTTGTGATATTTTCCAGTTGACTAATCAAGTGTATTTTCAACGTATGATACAGAAAGAAATTTGAGCTGATGAAATAGAAGCAGAGAAGTGCCAGAGGGTGAAAAGAACATCCCATCGTTATTAGCACTGTTGTCTGCTGAATGAAGATTCAATTCCATATCAGGTTCTCCAATTATTATTATTCGTATTTAATAAATGAACAAACATAAAACTTCAAACCCCGTTGTGCATTGTTTAGTAAACGCATTAATTTTTGTTCCAGACTTTTTATAGTGAATTCAATTTACCTAGTGGATGATACCTGAAGAGTAGAGTAGCTCACCTTGATCCTCTGTGTTCTTCCTGATACAGGTGTTAGTTGTTACCCTAGCAACACCCTTAGCATCAAGTTTTCTTCGGACTCTTAAGGTTGCTTTTCTAAGATGAATACTCCTGGTGATCGAAAGACGTTATTGTTGAATAGTAATATACCAACTCAAAGCTAGAATTTAATTATTTGTTCATCCATCAATGTGATCCATATAAATAGGTCTTTAATTTTTTTTTTGAATTTTTCATTTTAATCTTCTCGGCGACTGTATCCATCTCTATTATAATAAAAGCAGAGGATCACTGAAATAAGCACATTGAGTAGTTAGCAGTAATACCATCTAATTGCTCTTACGAACAAGCATATATTCTACCTAGGATTACTCATTCTCCCTTGACGTACCTAGTCACGCATGTGTTTCATTTCATTCTTCCCCTTGCATTTACCCCTATAAACTTGTTTGGTACCTGCCGTTCCAAAAGGTACACGAGGTCAGATGTATCGTTTGCTTTGTACCAATTATAATGAAATGTGACGTGTATCATTTTCAATTTGTCCTAAGATTTGTCTTTGATCTTTGGATTATTAAATACCTATCCATGTACACCTGCATTACAAGATCGTTTGAATGTAAATACTATTGATCATAGTAGTGCTACATTTCTATCACTTGATATTAATCACTGATATCATTTCTCTTCATTCTATCCGAATTGTGTTAGTTGTTATGAATGTATAGTTCCTGAATTTGGAATTAATTACATACTTAATCTTTTACCATAATGTTCAATTAAAATACAAAATATACTAAAATAAATTTTTACTTAATTCACGCAGAATGGGATTAATGTATTCACATTTTATCATTGATATCTAATTAGGTTGTGCATAGTGTACTTCATTAACTAGATAGTATATATTACTTTTGCTAAAAATAACATTTTTATTCTATTCTATGATTAATTATTAAAAATTATTAATCGATTCAAGCCTTTTTTGTATCATAATTAATGGCTCATAAAGAATAAAAATGGTTATAAGTTCTATAAATAATTGCCCTTGACTCTAATAAGTCCTTTAACACTCCAATTACTAGTGTTGAGTTGAAGTAACTTAGGAATGAAGTAGAAGTACTTTAAAGCCAGTAAAATATGAATTTAAAATCCACTTATTACTCTCTTCTATTATTTCTACTGCAACTTGACGAATTTTAACTGAATCCTGATGGATAAAATAAAATTACGTTATGATGAAACTATACATCTAACTTAGTTTGAAAATTTTATAACATTGTACGTTAATACTCTATAAACTAGGATGGATATATTTATTATTAAAACTTGCAAAGTACTTGTAAATTACATACTATATTTATAATATTTACTTTATTATTTGAAATATATTTTGTTTTAACCTATTTATAGGAGCATAAATTCTTGAAAGTTATCAGTTGTATTATTCTCAGGTTTTTTTTTTGATATAATTGGCAAGATTAATTGAAGTTATTCGTGAGAAGAATTAATTCAAAAAGCTTCTAGTAAATTTTACTTTCCTTATAATAACTAATGAGCTTGAGTGAAGACATTACAATGAGTTTATAAATATATTGATTCAAATAATTGAAGCAATAATTAGAAAAATATAATAAAAGATTTATATACAAAAAGTTAGACATTAGTAAGAAAGCCATTGATGCGGAAGCATTTTTCTGTGATTCCTTGGAAGCTTTTGAATACGAGGGAGCTTTTGCCATGGATACGACTGGCTTCTAGGTTCTATCATCCACATTTTAGATGATGGGGATGTTTAGGATTGGCGTGATCATGGCACAATGGAGGTGGAACTCTTGATTCAACTTCATTGCTTTTACCTGTGTTACAGAGTCGTCTATCCAGAAACGAGGAGGCGGCTGCAATATCGTGGGTGCGGACAGACGAGAGGGAGTGATTGCCATGACTACAACTGGAGCCCAGTACGCTCTAGCAGCATCCACGGGAGCTGGTCATGGCGGGGGAAACTCCGCTGTTGTAGAGGTGGAAACTAAGCCAAACATCGTCGTCGTGACCACTTCCAGTACCAATAGTTCTGGCAGCATAGTACAGAATCAGACTTCAAGAGGTCAACAACTCATTACCGTGGTTACTAGCTCTGATCCAACGAGTACCAATAATCTCCAACCCATCCAGGTCTGTATTTTATTACTGAGACCAGTTGATTGTATACCTTGCCATTCTTCAACAAATGAAAAACCATTCCTATCATTCAACAGCTTTCTCAGCACCACAGTTCTGTAGATAAAATAGAAATAAAGATATAAAATGAATCAATAATTGTTATCTAAAATAGACTTAAACCGGTGTAAAAATAACTTGATAAGAGCCTACCATCTGTCCCTTTACATTTCGTATATACGCATAGTTACGAGTATTTTTAGATTAGTTAATACTTGGCAGAATATAGTTGAGAAAATAAAGAATAGTAAAATTATTAAATGAACATTTTTTTCAGTTGGTTGTCCAAGACCCGTTGGAAACAGCTGCTGATTCATCGAATGGTTCTTCAGGAACTCCAGCACACGTGACTGCTCAAGTTGTTGTGAATACTGGACACTCTGGTCAACATACTCTCATTGACTCAGACGGAGCGTCTACATCTGCAGGAACAATTGTTAGTGGTTCACCGCATTATATTACCGTCACAGGTATTGTTAATACTAAAAGTTTAGTAGCTAACATTGAAAACTTTCTCGTAATAGCTATACAATATTCAGTCTATTATTTTTCTTTTACACAAATAGTGTGACGTGAATTTCTCACTTAAAGTTCCCTTTTATTGAAACTGTCAAATTATTTTCCTATAGACAAGCTTTGATAGTTTTATTATTGAAATAATTACGTACTTTCTATTGTCGATTGTTTATTCTTTATATTAACGATTGTAGAAAGTAAGTATGACGTTGTCGAAATGCAAATAGTGTTTGAGTAGATATTTGATTAACCCTTTCCATGCTGCTGAACAAAAATCTTGCACCAACTATCTACTTCTTCACTGACTACACTAGGCACCGGCGATTCACCATCCTACACGTCTCTCACAACGGCTGTAGGTGAGGCTGAATCAAAATCTGCATGATTATCTTTAATACTGATCAGTCTTTCATATTCTGCAACGATTAATAAACGATTTAGGCAAATAATTATTAAGTATAATTATGTGATAATCAATAAGCTGTATTAGAATACATTAGCATTGGCTTTTAATGTAAAAAATATTTATAAATAAATATCTAATACTTTCGAGTGATTTTCAGTGTCTGGCGACGGCGAGGCAGTGGGTTCCGAATCAGTATCACACCCAACTTATGTGCAGTATGTTGAGGGCGATGGTTCAACTTATAATCTCACAAATGGGCAGATGTAAGTATTGTTTTATTCAAAAGCAGGATTATACAGCTTTTAGATCAAGCTAATGATTTATTTCATTTCAGGACATATCCTGTGTATGCTGTCGGCGAGGCGGGAGCCATGTACACTCCCGCCTCAAGTCAGTATTACACGCCGGCGACGACACCGGTAACATATGCACAGGTAACATTGATAAATCATTAAAAATATTAATCATTTCTGTCATTTTTTTCTCATAAAATTATCAATATTTTAGGTCTCAGGGCAAGGTTCCAATACTACAACTGGACAACTCTTGACCCAAGGCAACGGTACGTACCTGATACAACAAAGCGTTGTCGATGGTGATCCAACGACTCACGCACTCATATCTGCTGCTGCTCGTGCTAGTCCACAAACCGAAGGCGCGGTAAGCTATTGGAATTTTGTTGCTATAATTATTTGATCTAATCTACCTAATTATGTTACATATCAGAACTTTAAAACATTTTCCTCTCCAATTGCTCCACACAAAAAAAATTCAAGATCTTCACGTATAAAATGGAATGAAAGTGCTCCATTAGTTTGGTCGCTTGTCAAAGTGTCCTGTAGTGTGTTGTGTAACGGAGAGGATGATTTTATTATTAAAAAAAATAACTATTGTAAAGCAATTATAATTGGGAACATTAACAAAAATACGGAAATGGGCTGTTTGATAGGAAGCTGTGGTTAGCGGGGGTGGAGGGGCATACTTGATCAGCGGTAATGCGGGAGGCGCTACTATCAGCGTAGAAGAGGCTGCATCCGCGGCGAACATGACGCATGCCACTAGGGTCTCCCAGGCCACCGTAAGCCATATCGACTCCCCATTTGTTAGCTATTTTCTTATTATTATTATATTTCATATAATTGCATGGTTTTATAATAATTCTATAATTGTCTTTTGACTACTTGAGATGCTTTTCTTGTACGCTTGCTTCAATAATAATATTCAAAAGGCAAAGCATAGTAATCAAGCTTAAGTTGTCAGAATTATAACATTATTTTGTACATCAAAAGAAAAATGTATTTTATATGTAAAAATAAGAATTCAAAATTTAGTCCTTTTGGGTATAAATTTTTTTTTAATTTTTTATTTTAAAAAGACTAACGAAAAGATAATGTTCGATTGTTTCTCATTTAATAGAGATACCTAAAAAGGTTTAACTGTTGAATTATCTTACATGTAAACACATCTTGTTTAAATTATAAAGTGCACTGTTTTAATTATATTAGAATAGTAGAGAAATGTAAATAATTCAATTTCCCTTGGAATAGGTACAATGGCTTTTAGAAAATTACGAGACTGCTGACGGTGTCTCTTTACCAAGATCTACACTTTACAATCACTATTTACGCCACTGCTCAGATAACAAATTAGATCCAGTAAATGCAGCAAGTTTTGGTAAATTGATACGCTCAGTATTTCTAGGATTGCGAACACGGCGTTTAGGAACACGGTAAGTTGATCACCGTACTACTTTTTCAATATAGATCCTAATGGAAAAAAAATTTGGTTTTATTTCTGTTATTATTATCATTGTTATATTGAATGTTTTAATTTAGAGGAAATTCTAAATACCATTACTATGGAATCCGAGTAAAACCTAATTCACCCCTGGTAATGCTAAATGAAGATGGATCATCACGACCGCCTCAAGGCACAACTAATCAAACGAAAAGATTCAAATTCGTTAGCTGCCAGAAACAAGAATCATCATATGAAAATAATTCTCATGGGAATGCAAATCTTTCTTCCAATACATCATCTTCGCAGTACCATCAGTATCTTGGTGAAGGAAGCAGTGCTATTCCTGATTTTCCAGAGATAATAGTTGGTCATGGTTCTTCCCTCCCAGAAGATTGTACCCTAGAGGATATTGATACTTTTCGAAGTATTTATCGTGAACATTGCGAAGCTTTCCTTGATGCTGTATTAAATTTCGAATTTACTACAGTTGAAAGTCTGTGGCGTGAATTTTGGCGGAGTCAGGACAATAATAATGATGAGTGTGAAGAAGAAAAATACTTATCTAAGTAAGATTTAAATAAAAGATGATTTTAATTGAATCATTAATTTATAAATAATTAATTGTTTTACGTTTTTATTTTCAGAACTAAATTATATCAAATGTGCAAATGTGGTGAAGTACAAGATTTTATTAAAACCGTTGATTACACATTTTATCAAAATCTCGTTGAAGTATTAATGCCAGATGTTCTTCGACCTATACCAAGTGAGTATTACACAATATAATAAATGAAAATTTTTGAATTATTTTATTATTTCAATTAATAAAAAAAAATTTTTTTTTATAGGTACACTAACTCAATCAATTAGAAATTTTGCAAAAGGATTGGAATCATGGCTAACTACCGCAATGAATGACTGTCCAGAAGAGATGATGCAGATTAAAGTATTATATCCTTCAACTGTACACAATAATTATTCCTTTTTTCTTTCTATTAAACGATATTTATTTTTTTTATTATAGTTAACGGCTGTGTCAGCTTTCGCTCAAACTCTTCGTCGATATACATCATTGAATCATCTTGCTCAGGCTGCACGAGCTGTTCTTCAAAACTCTAGTCAAATAAATCAAATGTTAGCAGATTTAAATCGTGTTGACTTTCATAATGTCCAAGAGCAGGTAAATAATCATATTTGTAATTAATATAATTTAATTTAATTAGAGCAATTTATTAATTGATGGATAAATATTCAATTGACTTGATTCTTATAGGCTTCATGGGTTTGTCAATGTGATTATGCAGTAGTTCAACGACTAGAAGCCGATTTTAAAGTAACTTTACAGCAACAAAATTCATTAGAACAGTGGGCAATATGGTTAAAAGGAGTTGTGACACAAGTATTAAAACCTTATGAAGGGAAACCAACATTTGCTAAAGCTGCGCGACAATTCTTACTCAAGTGGTCATTTTACAGGTAATTTATTAGTTAATAAGTTTGCACGTAATAATCAATAATAAATTATATGATTATGTAAGCTTTGCATAAACTATTACATAAATTTTAAATGGCATTGAATAAAAAAACGATTTTTTTTTAATGTATCGTAGATACAATATAAAAACTGATAATTTTCTACATTCCTTTCGTCATTTAGTTATTGTTTCCTAATCTGATGATAACATGTAATGTTTTTTTTTAGCTCAATGGTAATCCGCGATTTAACCTTGAGAAGTGCTGCGAGTTTTGGATCTTTTCACCTTATTCGATTATTATATGATGAATATATGTTTTATCTTATTGAACATCAAGTGGCTCTTGCAACTGGTACAACGCCGATTGCTGTAATGGGTGATGTAAGTAGTTTATTATAATTAAAATAATTAGTTGTTGAATTTAAAGTGCAATATTTTTGATATTTTTCAGAAGAATCAAAGTTGTCAGTTGATTAATAATTTTGGTACAACATCGAATGGAGGTATGTGTCAATCAATTACAAATGTTTATCATTAACTAAAAGAATTAACTTGAATAACTTTTGATGATTAATAATTTTAGATACGTCAAATACGAATCAACCAAAGCGAATGAAAATGAGCTAACTGAGTGCCAGTGCTTTGTAAGTAATAATTCCGTGCAATACATGAACGGATACTATGAAGAAATCGTGTGAGGAAATATAGGCCTACTGGTTATAAATTAATTTCATAAATTATTTTATATAAAACAAGAAAGATTTTTACTCACTGCAATGAATTAAAAAAGTGGAAGTTTGTGTGATAAAAGATATAAAATTAGTTACGAGAATTACGTAAAGCCTTTGAAAACAAATGACACTATAGTTAAAGCAAAGTATTTCCGACATTATTGCAAGTTAATATAATAAAATAAATTAAAGGAAAACCATCTAGTCGAAATGCATTCGATAAAAAAAAATGGGACCATGTATGAATCATGCTGTCTTGAAATACTGGTCTAAAGACACGTATGAGTAATTAAAAATAACTTGAGAAATTTTATTTCGATCAACGACATCACTTTTATTGAAGTAGCATTGAGGCGAAATAGAATAAAAAAATAAAACGATAAATTGAAAGGTATGACAATATATACCTGAAGAAAGTTAATCCTTATTCGCCCGTCCTTGGACAAACTCGCGGTTCGACATATATAATTAATTCCGCCCTATTAATTGTCAACAATAATTGAAGAAAAAAATTTATTTAAGAAATAAATATTCCTAATTAGGGTAAAGTTAGAGATAGTTTATAACACTGACATATTAAATGTACAAGTTTTAGATAGGATCAAGCATTCAATATTTTTTATTACCGTTATTTATACATCGAGTAAACCAGGGTTCTGTTGATGAATAGTTCATACATATGAACTCTGCGATCTTTATATTACAAATATCATACATCAAAAATAAATTTAAAACAAAAAAACAAATAGAGAAATGTACATATACAAAGCTACATTGTTTGACAAAAAAATAATTTAACGCACTCTTGTTAGAGTTTAAATAAAAATTTAAACTTTAACAAAACAAAAAATTATTAAAATCAATAAGATTGAAATTTATAATGATAATATAAATTCGATATTATACTAATTTGTTCTTGTAAATTCATTTTCGTTTAGACCACAACTAATTAGCAATTTATTTTCTGTTATTGCTGTGGCAAATTTGTAATTATTTGTTTTTAATTTTTAAATAGTCATAATTGTAGATTGTGTGGAAATTATAATTATGCATAAATTATAAAAACAAATATAATATTAAGGACTGCAGTAAATTAATTACCATTTCATAAAGTTCTTAATCAATGATTAAATAATTTCTGAAATTAATAATTGTTCGATTTTTCATTTTTAAAGAAAGAAGACTGAAAACACACATATGTAACTTATGAATACCAGCTAAAAGTCCAAATCAAATGATTAATATTTTTAATTTATTCATCCATATTATTTTGACGATCTCTTTTATTTATAATCCAATACTTTTTTTTGTTATAAAGCATAGCACTGCTTTATATATATTTTTTTTTCTTCCATCACTAAATGCATATGTACTAGTCAAAGTCCGTAGGAAGTAAGTTGTGATCATTTAAATATCGCATGAAATATCGATTGACATTATAATTGTTATGAACGATATTAAAAAATGTCAGTCGATACAGGGAGAACGTTTCCATAACTATAATGAGCTTATAAGTATAAAAAAAAACTATCGATACCTAAGTGTACCTAATATATTGTAACGGCTTACTTTATGATAGGATTAACGGTTCTCAGCAAAAAAATAAATAAACAAGAGACAAAATAATTGTTTAATTATGATGGTATGTCTACTTGTTTGTTTGATAATTGCCGAGAGAAATACAATAAAATTACTAATTAAAGAGAGATAGTAAGGCAAAGAAATCGGTCGATTATTTCACTGATGTATTGATAATAATACACGAAAATCAAATTGAACGAAAATTAGCAACAAAATATTAATCTTCGATAAAAAAAATGAAATTAAAAAAAAAAAAATAAATAAAAAATACGAAACAAAACGGCCTTAAAAGCATTTAAAAATTGTAGAACAAGACTCGCCATTTGTCAAATATATATAGATTGTGCACATGAATGAAATGTAGAAAAAAAAAAAATTAAGTATAAAAGTATCGTTTCTTTATAATGAAAACATATAAGAAGATATTTTAATATTACCCCATTTACAAATAAAATTTGGGGAATTATTAATTATCGCTTGGATGAAATTATTTTTACTGAAGTGCAGCTCAAGTATACAAATGTATTGCATATAAAAATGAAAATAAAAAATCAATAATATAATAAACAAAAACAAAAAAAAAAAAATATGTGAAATATATTGAGCTCTATGATTACATGAGTGTGAGTATTACAAAATAAATTAAATTGTAATATAAATATATGTTCATAAATCATACACCTGACTAATTATTTAACCACTAATTTTAATTGATAATTAATAATTGGTAATTAAGTGAAAAATAAATTGTAATTTTAAAATAAAAAGTATGAGTAATTTTATTATTTACTCAAATTTTTGCGGTAATTAGTAATAATACTGTGTTTTGATGTACAAACTAAAATTAATTTCATGTAATCTTTTCAGCCATTCCGTAGTTTAGAGTAAGTATTTTACATTTTATTATAATTTAAAAATAATGGATAATTATGTATATATAAATAAATGTATATAACATTAAAAACCGACCAATTCTAAAAATATTGTAAACTCGAAAATATCATGAGGTATGTGATTCCAATGACACTTTATATTATCATTTCAAAAATATAACATTGAAATATTCCATTTCTTTATGAATAGAGTTTTAAATTAAAAATACATACATATCGTATTAATAGATTTTTTCGCTTTTTTCTTTTAATTTATTACATGTAATAAAGAAAAACTGATATAATATCACTTGATATCAGAGTGTATTTAGACTAGAAAGCAATTTAAAGCGATTTCGCGGCAAGAGGTCGCAAACAGTGTCGACGTTAGCGGCACATTCTAGAAGCAATCAATTGCATGTGTGTGATATGAAGTATGTATTGGTGTGTAAGTTTTTCAGAATGGCGACTATCTTCACTTAGAAGAGTACTTATTCCCGCCCATAAAACTTGTTAAGAAAACGTTTAATTAATTATTTTAATGTGCTTTTCAACGAGTGTATGTCAAAAATGATAATAGAAAATCCAGATCAGTTCAAGGCTTGGCTAACTGAAGTTTTGGAGCCTCTGTAAGTAGGCCAGCTTGTCTGATATTTTGGCTTGTGTGCGTTTAGAGTTGATAATGTAAATGGTTCATACATGTGCCTTTGCGTGTGGTATTTTATTTATCCATACTTTTAATTCATACCTTCCTCTAATATTTAATCAATTATAACTTATTATCTTATCTACTTTCGACACCCTTCTTATTTTTCATGGGTTATATTTTCTTTCTGATGATAAACTCTGTCACGCTTCTCCATTCCAATCTCAAAACTACACCGAATCACCAATCGATCTCTTTACTCACCTTCTCTACACGTTTTTCATAATAAGATTCAATTATTCTCTATTTACCTGAAGATATTACAAATAAAATAATCCTAACCTGTTATTTATTGTTTATATTAATCCAAAAAAAAAATCCACAGGTGTGATGCTGACCCAGCAGCATTGGCCAAGTATGTTTACGCATTGGTTAAGAAAGACAAAACTCTAGAAGAGTTAAGAGGAGGAATGGTTGAACAGCTGGACGTATTTTTACAACACGGTAAAGTGCTAGTGCTATAGAATGTTCAATTTATTATAGAGACCTTTGCAAATAAATTTTACAATAAGTATACTTAGTATACTGACCGCCAATATCATAAATATTCTATTCATATATAATTACTGAATAGATGTCCCAAATAATAGCTGTTATTTAGAACCTTAGTATTAGTCTTTAGAAAGTATTCACTATGACGATTTTAATAACAATTCAAAATTCTCGTTAAAGTCAAATATTCTGACTAATAACTGATTATATTGTTTATTGTAGAAACCAAAAAATTTGTGGATTTATTGTTTAAAACATTAGAAACTCAAAAGTATGTTTTACCTTCGAAAATGGTGACGACGCAGGAAGAAAATCTACCTACTACAGAAAATCCAACATCTCAACCAATTCCATCAGAGAAACTAGTAGATCCAATCATGTCTCAATTACCTCCGATTACAAATCCAGCATTATCAGTACAAGTAAATGGCTCAACGGTTGTGCCAGTAACTAAAAGAGAATCTCGGAAATCTGAATCAGAGAAGGATGATAAAGATAAAAGACCAAGGAGTCGGTAAGTTTTAAATTGATTGTAAAATCAATCAATTATATAACTTTTCAATTTAATTCTCATAAATAATTCATAAGAGTTATTATTTATTCTTTACTTTAACTTCATTGTTTCTGTTGATTTTATTTCAAAATTTTTATAAATCAAACTAGCCATAAATATTTTTTGTTTTGAAATTATTTCAACTATTTGTTTAATTTAATTTGAAAAAATGTTTTTTTTATCACTATCGTAATTGTCTCATATAATTCAATTGTCAATTAACGGTGACTTTAATTCATTAATCAATCATTAAATCAATTACACAGAGGTCGAGTTCGATCACGATCAAGGTCACGATCAAGATCGTGGGAGAGGGACCGCCGTAGGTCAAGGAGTAGAGAACACCTTCGTCGTGACCGGGAACGAGATCGAAGTAGGCCCTGGAGAAATAAATCACCTCCGTCAACAGTTAGACGACATGATAGAAGGTTTATATTTTTAATATTTATTTAGTGAAACATATTTAAATTTCAAACAACTTTTGCTCTTGTACTTTTATAGTTATTATTAGACAAAAATTTTTAATAATATCAATTTAATTTTAGACGTAGTCGAAGTCGGAGTCCATCTCCGTTACGAATACGAGTTGTTAGTGACAGGGATCATAGAACAAGGTTTCGAAATAGATCGCCTACACCATTGCGGTCTAGATCACGGTCTAGATCCCCGGATCGGAAAAAAGTGGACAGGTCAGAGAGAATTAATGAAGTGAGCAGATTAGACCGCATAGATGCCAGTCCCGGTGGTACTCCAACTCAGGATAGTAATCATGGAGACATAGATATGAGATTATCAACTACAAGTCAATCTATTCAAAGTGTTGTGGCTGTTGCTTCGAATATTCCAAATAATCAAACTGGACCATTTCCATCTAAAAGACGTTGCCGTGATTTTGATGGTATGGAAATTAATTTATGATTTTTAAAAAATATAATAAACAATCATCAATAATGAATGACAATATATTCTCTGATATGAAGTTGATTATTAATATAATGTTTAACGGTTTTTAGAAAAAGGGTATTGTATGCGTGGTGATCTTTGTCCTTACGATCATGGAACAGATCCAGTGGTTCTTGAAGATGTGGCACTAAGCCGTTTTATAAGCGTTGGACCTCACGGTGCTCAAGCTCCCGGTACGGTACCAGTAACGGCGATACCAGAACCACCTCCGGGGCATAATGGTAATGCTCCACCTCCTCATGTACCACTTGCAAGTTTGCCACCACCTCATCTACGAAATCAACATCATTCGAATATGGGTAAGCATATTATTTTAATAATATTTAAAAATAAAATATATTTATGAGCAACATAGGTTACTGATAAATAATTTTTTAATATAAAAATGAAATGTATCAGATGCTTTTGCAGAGTACAACCCAGATGCACCTAGTATGGAACCGCGATTACCATGGGGTAGACATCCTCAACCCAATGCTGGAATTTATGGACGTGGACAACGCGAGTTGATAAGTGTACCAGTGATTTCCCATCCTCCAGAAGTGACTCATCCTCCGGCTAATCCATTAAAACGAAAGCAAACTTTTGATTTTAATCGGCTTGGTCCTAAACAACGCATTGTTCATAATCCTGCTAATTGTTCCCTTGAACTTAAAAAAGTTCCACGAATTTTGAATAATATAACTCAATTGAATAATCATTTTTCAAAGTTCGGTAAAATTGTAAATATTCAAGTAAATTTCGGTGGCGACCCTGAGGCCGCCCTTGTAACATTTCAATTACCATCAGAGGCAAAAGCTGCATACCGGAGCACCGAGGCTGTGTTGAACAATAGATTTATCAAGGTGTTCTGGCACAATAATATTACCAATAATTCTGCTGGTGGTGCTATTGAAAATGTTCCTCCAAGCGTTCGTCCATCTGTAAAAGAAAGATTGGGAGCTGCTGTAACAGTAAAAACTGAAGAAAGTGAATACGTTCCTACGCGCCGTACAAATGATGATCAACAACAACAGCAAGTGACTCAAAGTTTAGTTCCTGCTGCACAAAAGATCGTTCCACCCGTTCCTTCACGAGAGGAGAAAGTTAATGCAATAAAAAAGACACAGGAAATGTTGGCTGTCAAGGAAACATTAAAGAAAAAACAGGAAGAAAAGCGTAAAGAAGCAATTAAGTTAACTGCTGATCTTCGTAAACGAAAACAAGATTTATTAGCCAAGCATTTAGGGGAAATCCGTACTTTGATTGATAAAGCTGAGAAAAATCCGGAACAGAAAGAAGCGATAATGTCAACGATTAAGATGATACAACAGGCTATTGATCAACTTCAAAAAGATCTTGCTTCGAATGGACAAACGGGAACAACAAAAACACCAATCAAATCACGAGAGCAAGCTCAAAAAGAAATTCTTGACGCTGAATTAGATCTTATGACTGCACAGCAAGAGGGCCAAGATGCTGGAGAGCTGCAGAAAAGGTTAAATGAATTAAAAGCTCAGGCTGCTGCTTTAGGTTTGAATACAAGTACAACAGCTGGAAGAGGTGTGAAACCTACGCGAGTAATCCGAGGTGGTCATGCTCTAACGTATCGTGGTCGTGGCCGAGGAGGTTTCACGCATGTTTCTGTAGATCATCGGCCAACTAGTCTACTGATTTCTGGTTATGAAACTGAAGAAAAAGCAGAGGTTCTTGCTCATTTCCAGGTAATTAATTGTTACAAAAACCTATTTGGGTAAAAATGAGAAAAATATTGTTTAAAAAATAATCATTTCAATTTCAGCAATTTGGAGAAATTATAAATCAAATAGTCGATGACGCAACGCCTTCAATTGTCTTGAACTTTAAATCGAGAAAAGAAGCCGAGGTTGCAATGGCAAAAGGTCGAACGTTCCAGGATAGACTATTATCTGTGACATGGGTTTCCAGTCATCATTTACATCGTGGTGGTGGAGGAGGTGGAATAAGTGCTAATTCGAATGCAGTCGTAGCTGCACGTTCCGAGCAAGCGCAAGTTCCTGATGAAGAGATCGATTTAGAGGTTGGCACGATACTATAAAAAAAATTAATACGATTGTCGTTAAATTTATCATCATAGCTTTTAATCAGAAAATTGGCTCTACGCTCCTATCTCATCAATGGAGAGAAACAATTTACAATTATTTGATTTATATTTTTTTAAATTAATTTAATAAGTAAGCTGAGATATTTTTATTTTCAATGATTAATTCATAGGGAACTGCGGAAACGTTACTTTTGGAAGAAAATGAAGAAGAAGAAGATGAAGACGGAGAATCTAGAAGTTGGCGACGATAGCAGCATCGACAATTGTGACAATATTTTGCTGCTAATAAATACAGTCACAGACCCACTTATCTTTTGAGTGAGCGCATGCCCGGTTCTAGTGTCTACGTTGCACCAATGTCGACTAGTGCATTTGGGCTTTCATTTTTTAAACTCTCAAGACGTATGCACGTCAACGTTACTATAAATGTTATACTTGTTATATTAAATGTACCATGCGCGATATTGGTAGCATAAAATATGCTACATATCGAATCTAAGTATCATACATAGACAAAACTAATATACAAATTTTCAAAAAGATAAAATTAATTATTAGAAAAGAAAAAATGAACAAACAAAAAATCAATCAAGCGAAATTATCTCATTATTTGTAGAATAAAGTCGCTATGTTTTGTATGGGACTTATGCAAATTATTGCTCCGATTCTATCAATTGTCCTTCGGCTATAATTTCATTCGTGTATTACTTATATATATATATAAATATTATATATTATTTTTGTCCTTTCCAATATCCTATAGTTTTTTTTAAATGCACACGATCAAACGTTAGACTAAGAATACGCCAAAAATGTGCCAGTCTATTTCAAAGTCTATGTTTATAAATTCTGATGCATCAATTTAATTTTATGTGACAATTTTTTTAATCTTCTTATTTTCATTGTAAAAATAAATTTCTCAAGATTTTTTCTTTTAAATGACATGAAAGAAATACTTAAAAAAATATGAAATGACAAATATCAAAAAAATATAATGTTTGTACTTCAAGTGAATTTTATTTTATCGTTTTGATTATTATTTTAAAATATTTTTCAATTATTATAAGATCCATTTAATTATTAATCATGATCGTTAAAATGATTAATACTGAAAATATCTAGTAAAAAGCTCTGATTTTTGATCCATTATTCATTAATATCAACGACGACTGCTCCTTTGTTAGGCGAAGTACTTTTGATTATTTCATTCGAATCATTCTTTTTGGTATAAACCCTTCGTCATGGAGAAACCCAACAGGCTAAAAGACTTCCTAAAAGTAATTGGGCTACTGGCAAAATTGCCATTGGTAAATTAACAGCAGTACTATGAGACGATCCATGATACGCTCCACGGATCACCCATCCTCCAAGGCCTACGGACTTATTTGTGCTTGTGAATAATGCAGCTAAGAGAACATTCCTTGAGAGCCATTGAGAACAGAGCATCCAACAGAGTCCAGCTATCAACATTTGTCCCAGGCATGCTATAAAAGTTAATTAATAATAAAAATTGATAATTCATTTCAGAATTTTAGAAAAATTTTACCAATTAATACACAGAGTAAAACATCTAGGGCTTGAAGAGAAGCAGAATCAGCAGTAATTGCATCACAGAACCAATGGAAGGCCGTCACTAGCAACAATCCTAAAGGTATCCAATTTGTTTGAAGGCCATTGTAGTAGGAATCTAACTTGGGGATTAATGTCCGAAAAACTATTCCAAGGCTTAAAGGCACTAAGGTACTATAAATTATTTCTCCAAGGTTAATTCCTACAAGAGGAGGAGTGGATGCTCCTAACTGAAAATTTATTAATATTAATTGTTTTAATTAAACGTACTAATTCGTATATATATATTTGTTTTTGTAATAATTTTGTTTTATCACCATAAAATAAAGCAGAAATGGAGATATTAAAAGTCCTCCCAAGTGACAGATCAAAGTCGTTATGATACTTGTTGCTAAATCAGCATTTGCTAAACGACTTAGAGCAAAACTTACATTAAATGGAGGTGGCATACAGTAAAAAATCTAAAGATAATGAGAGATATATTAATGGATGTTCAATTATTAAAAATTGTAAAAATTTATTCTTTCTAAAAAATTTTAATGTGTGACAAAAGTAAAAAAATCTAAATTAATTAATATTTAAAAACTGTGAAATTATGTTATAACTATATTAATTTTATAGAAAAACATAGATGTGAAATTAAATAACAATAATAAAAATGTGAGTCGATAACACTTAAAGATAATAAATGTAAAACATTTTACGTACCGTGAAAAATAAAGTTCATTAAATATACTTATTATAAATCATAAGAATACGAATAGCAAATAAACGTTGAAGAATATTATAAATAAAAATAACTGTAATAAAACTAAATAAGTTATAATGAAATTTTGCTATAATAATAAACAAATAAAATATTTACTTAATATTAAATACTTTTCTGTATATAAATTAATATTTATTTGTGCATATTATTACCTCCATCCCTTTCAAAAGCCATATGTTAACATTAACATAAATTAATAGACAACTTGCAACTCTAGCTAAAAGAGGCATTAAAATATACATGAAAGCCATGACAAATGCTATGAGATATCCATCACAGAGTACAGAGTATAATGCTTTAGGGCTACAAATCAGGCCGGCTTCAAAATACGTTATTGGCACTGCTAAATACCATACAATAATGTTTCCATTAATTACTCCTGAAATTTTGACAGAATAAGATATATATTATTATATACATTGAGTATCTAGACTTTTCATTTTATTAAATGTATGTTAAAAGATTCGAAATTTTCTATTTAGATGGACACGGAATTTATTTTTACCATTTGCACCACCTATTCTAGGTTGCACTGATGCAAAAAGCATGCATAATAACATTAGAATAAAAAATCCATAACGAGATATTATATCAAGATCTCTTCTGTGCTTTGATGATAGTAATGGTTGCGAGCTTTCTAAAGTCATTTTGCTTCTTTTTAATTGTAATAATACCAGTTTAATTCTTCTTTTAGGATAACTTTATCTGAAAAATGATATAAATATTATTATTATTATTAATTGATACGATGAATTAAAAAACTTCAGCTGAATCTTTTAAATAATCAATTTCTTATCCATCCAGGGATGATAAAAAATATATCTTACCCATTTGAAATTTTTCCATAATCATTGGATGATTAGTGATATGCATCCAAAAAATGTGCATCATCTTAATGCAAGCAAAAAGTAGCTGATTCATGCAGTCAATTATTAAAAAGTAATAATATTTTCTAGTGCTTGCATAAAGTCTAAATTATGGTGAATCGTAAACTTGATGAATAAAATTGCTATATTTTCTTAGAAAAATGCATTATAATGACTAGATATTAATAAATGTGTGGAAAGGTTGATAATAAAAAATTGAAATATTTTTAAGATAATAAGAGAATAATTTATTATCAATTTTTCAAAATTTATTCTACATGATTTCTAGGTTCTAAATAGTTAATTTAGTTTGATTTTTAAAATATAGTATTATGCTTCTATGAAACTAATTTATATTGATTATCAAGCCAAGCAAATGAAAATTATTTAAATACAATTTTATCTAATAAATACCGTAAAAAGGACATTTTCCTTTAAAAATTATATTCACAGAAAATTCAAAATTAATTTATTATTAATGTATATTCAAAAAATTTATCTCTACATATTAATAATAAATTATTTTATTCTATAACTTAATCGAACTTCATTCATAATGCGTTAATTAACTTGTAAATGTACTTTATGCTCACAAAATATAGATCACAGGATAAAGTAATCAGTACCGAATAAAATGATTAAAAACCTAAACGTCATTAATTCAGTAATTTACAACTAAACGTTATGTCGAATTTTATTGAAAAATATATAAAAAAATCCACTTTATGGAACTGAATTTTTTTGTTTATTTTTTTTGTGCAGTTACGATGGCAAGACTGAACAAACTGCATTGTTGCCAACTTGAGACGTGGTAAGTTCAAGACGTGAAAGGCGGAGCTCAGTTTCGTTTTTTGATAGTAGGGAGCGGAAAAAAACAGAGAAACAGTAGCCGAGAGATTGTATGAAAGCACAATTGTAAAGGATATGAAAATAATGGAAATAGTTTCTCTTGGTTACATTATTTTCTAAGTTCTCGTGGCTCAGATAGAAGAGTAATCAAAGTCAGATTACGAAACGGTTTTTATAGCCACTCATTGATAAGGAATTTGATTCTTTATTAAATAAGTTATTCCTTTTTTTGTAATTGTTTTTCGAGAAAATTATTTACAACAAGAAAAAATGCAAAATTGAATTGATTTCAAACGATAGACAATTTAATTCTCATCTGATAAGTGTCTATATCAACTGATCTGTCTTTTCTGATCATAGTTACAAGTCCAGCTGGAATTATGGCGGTTAAAGTGTTATCAGGAAAGGTTTTTCTCTTAATAACCGGTGCAAGTCAAGGAATTGGCCAGCAAATTGCTGTAACTTTTTCCGAATTATTAAGTGAAAATTCACAAATTTTACTATTCGCTAGAAATGAAAAGGGATTAAAGGAAACTGTCGAAAGGATAGGCAAGAATACTACAGTTAACTACGTTAGCATTGATTTATCATTAGCGAAAGCTAATGAACTTACTGGTATGATTACTCTTATGATCTATTAATTATTTAAAAAAAAATTAGTTATAAATATAATTTTTTAATTTTAGAAATTATAAATAAATATGTGAATCCATTGGAATATGATCGTGCAGTTGTTGTACAAAATGCTGGTACGATTGGAGATTTATCAAAATCTACAGTTGATATGGACGATTTCGACGTTTGGAGAAAGTACTATGATTTAAATGTATTTTCCCCAGCAGTGTTGAACTCTGTTTTTATGAAAATTTTTAACAACGTTAGAACTGAAAAACTTGTAATTAACATCACTTCAAAATGTGGCATTGTACCTTTTAAATCAATGGGATACTACTGTTCTGGTAAAGCTGCTAGAGAGATGTATTTTAAAGTAATTATCACACTAAAAGAGCCTGTATTATTTTACAATTATTTACAAAATATAAATATAAATGACGATGTTATTTTAATTTTTAAACAGGTATTTGCTGATGAATTTCCATTAGTCAACGTTCTTAATTATTCTCCAGGACCAGTAGAAACAGGCATGTTACGTACTGCATCAGAAACAGCTTCTGATGCAGACACAAAAGAAATGTTTACTACGATGCGACAAGAAAAAAGACAACTCACTACTGAACAAACAGTCAATCGTCTTGTTCAAATACTCAAAGAGCAAAAATATACTTCTGGCGATCATATTGATTATTTTGATCAAATATAAATATATTTTTATTTTATTTTTATAAAGTTTTACATAACTAATGTTATGGATTATCAATGATATTAATCGTAAAATATTATAATATATAAAACATTAAATACTCAAATAATTTACAAAATTGTTATCAAAAATTTGATCGTGAATAATATAAAAAATTCTATATTATCAATATAGAGTGTTGTATCTAACTACTAATCTTCTTGAATTGGTTGATGATATGCAGAGGGATACTTAATCATTCTCCAATCAATGAGAATTACTAATAATATCATAATGAAGAACAATCCAGCTGATAAAAGATATGCTGGTAAAGGATATATTGGTGGCATATAATTTGAATATATCACAGTGTACAAAGTGACACCTCCTAGAGGTAGTAATGTCTCCAAGAATGTAATTATTGAGAATATTTTACCTGAAATAAAATAAATGTTAATTGTTGATTGTTCATAAAGTATAATAATAATAATTATTATTATTGTTACTTGCTATACTTTTAAATGAATGTACTAAATTAACTTAAAAATTATAATACGTAGTTAATAGTACCGATATCTTCAGAAGGAGCAGATGTAGACAAAATTGATCTAACTGTTGGTGAAATTATACCAGAAAGTGATCCTGTTATGCTTACTACGTACAAGTGCCAAGGTTTTGTGGTAAAAGCTTTTATTATCGCTGCTATAAATCCAGATAAACATCCCATTAATGCATTTTGAACATCTGAAAAACCTAAAATAAATATATATTTTATTAAACCAAGTTTATGTAATAATTAAATACATATGTAATCATAAAATAATTTACCTAAATAATTTTTCATAAGTTTGAGTATTAGAAACATGCCTACAACTGACAAAAAAATAGATATGCTATGGTAGGTTGAAAACTTTACAGAATCCCAGCCAAGTCTAATATTTGCAAATAAATAATTAATCTGTGCATTTCCATCTGCAATTATTACGAAGATTGCAAGTATTGAAATACAACTCCAAAGAACCCAACGGTTTAATCCAGGACGTTTTTTTGTAGTCGTTACAAATAATTCCTTGACCAATTTTAAATCAAACGGATTTCCCCATTTTTCCTTTAAATAAAATTAAATTAAATTTAATTTAACTCTTTTTATTCATAATTTTTCAGTAAAGTAAAATAAAATACTTACATTTGTTTCATTTTGAATAGTTTCAGGTACATAAAATGTAACATAAAGAAAAGCAATACATGCGATAATAAAACTAATAGCATATAAAATTAAATATCCAAATTGTTTAAATATTAGTGGACCAATAAAAGTACCAATAACTAGTCCAGAAGTAATAGCACCTTCTAAACAAGCTAAATGCCAAGTTCGCTTATCACTGCTTATAATGTCTGAGATAAAACAAAAAGATGCTAACATTACTCCTGCTCCACCACCACATAGAGATGAAGGTATTGTGGTTAAAAGAAATAACCATGGATTTACATCCCATAAATTTAATATTGATACCATAAAATAATGAAGTGCAGGTCCTAGAAGAAGGAATATTACATAATATATTTTTCATATCATTTGAAATTTTAATTTTAAATTGTAAAATTGTCAGTACCTAGATATCCAACTATTAATAATGGTTTTCTACCAAATTTATCACTCCAAGGACCAAGAAATAATATTAAAGCAGCCGGAATAATGCCATCTAATAGTGAATCACATAATATAATATAACTAGCATGTGGTTGGACAATCTTATCAATATCTAGAGCTTCTTGACTGCTACTATTGGTGTGAAGAAGATCACATGAGTTTTTATTTGAGATATACGTTTTGCAAGTGCGATACATTATCATATCAGAAAAAATCGTTTCTGTGAACAGACAAATAATAGAAATTTTTATTTTTCAATTGTGATAATCAAGTAACAGTTGCCTACTAATTAGTGATATTATAATGCAGTAATAAAGAATAATTAATTATCAATACTTCTACCTGTCATTCCATAATTAAAGAATAATAAAAAAATAGAAGGTTCCATATAAGTGAATCTTCGCCATCCTCTAGTTAAAATAGCTTTATTTTCAATATCCATTCTCTATTTTCTAATGTAACTGTTAATTTTAAGGTTAAACATAAGAAGAAGAAGTAAATAGTGGCAAGATTTGTGTAAAACTTATCAATTCATAAAACAAATAATAAAGACACTGGGATGTTGGTGACAGTATTGTTCATACATCTATGAACATCTGTAGATTTGATAGGTATACCTCATATGTGAAGAATTGTTTCACAACATGATAACAAGTTAACAATTCTCTTTGTCTATCTGATGTAGCTTAGATTTTCGCCATGTCATACGATATAATTAACTCTGTTAGCAATGCCTGTAAATATAAATTTATCAGTGATTATTTCAATCAAGTATTTACTATTTTAACTAAAGAATAAACCTTTTTTAAAAGTGATAATATTCATACCTGTAATCAATATCACATTTCTATTATTTAAAGTAAAATGATTGTTCGTCAAGGCTAAAAGAAAATATGGGCACACTAGAACAGCTGTTTTATGTTTACCAACAAAGAATTGAGAACTTTGATCAATTTAAAAATTCTTGATATGATAATGGATGACAAAGAATCATTATCTGACAGACCACCAACTCCAACAGAAGAAGATTGCTGTGGAAATTCATGTAATCCTTGTATCTTTGATATTCATAAAAAGTTAATAGACCAATGGGATGATAATAAAAAGAGTAATTCAAAAATAAAATCTAAGAATTTACTTGTACCAACGTTATATAAAACATTTAAAGTGATTAAAATTAATGAAATTAATGATGATTACCTAACAATAATATTGCATTATGAAGATGATAGTCACAGCTGTATTTTTCTAAATCCTGGACAGCATGTTATCATCAACCTTCTGACATGGTCAAAACCATTTACACCAATTACTTGGAATAATAATAATATCGAATTTTTAGTTAGAGTTTATCCAAATAGTACTTTTACAAATAAATTAAAAAATCTTCAAGTTGGAGATCAAGTCAAAATCCGAGGTCCTTATGGCGAATTTTTATACTTTCAGAATAGTTTCAAAAAGATTATTATGTATTGTATTGGAAGTGGAATAGCAGCATTTTATCCAATAATTCAATCTATAGTTAATAATGATTTAGAAGAAACTCGAATTAAATTATTTGCTGGTTTCAGATCTGTGTGTCAAATTCCTTTAAAACAACGACTGCAGTTGTTGGCTGATTATTGGAATGTTGAGTTTACAATTCATGTAACAGAAGTAGGTATGTAATAGTATATAACAATTGCAAATTAAGCTTATTAAATTTATAAAAATGTCATTTTCAGAAGAAATAACAACTATCCATAATATTCAAATTAAAAAAGAAAAGATTAATGAAAATAATTATAAAGCAGTACTACAAAAAGAATCATCTGAATCAACTTTAGTATTGATATGTGGTAATGAAGAATTTAATGAAGCACTATCACAATGGACACAAGAGTGCAATCATATTAACTATTATGTGTTTAAGTAAACGATAATATTTATTTTTTATATGTTATCTATCTAATAAATTATTTTAATAAAGGGCAGGATATTTTCGTTTTGCAATTAGGACAGATACCATGTATTCTATCAAAAAGCACGGAACTTTCTGCTATTACTTGCAACCACTGAAATTATACAATAATTTTGGTAAAACTTATCATCAAGATAAAGTGAGGAAAGATTTTATCAAAGATCTATACTACTTACCTGACGTAGACAAGAAGTATGAAAATGTTTTTGGCATTTTCCGTTATTACAAACTATCGATGGAGACTGTCCATCTTCTCCTTCATTCGAAAAGCAAATACAACACTCTTTATCAGAAACAATACCATCTGATTCAATTAGCTTCTCTTGTTTAGGCTTTGGTAATTCAGGTAGTTCTAATAAATCTAATAAATTTTTTACCACAGATTTATGACTGGTCCACATCTAGAAATGGAATATTTCAATCAAACTCTAATGAATTTATCTTTTAGTTATCAATTCATTAGGCAGAATAACTTACTTGTAGATTGTTACTAATTAAATCTTGACATTTCGATACTTCATCTTCACTTCCTAAAATTTTAATCTCTTGAAGAGCATCAGGATTAAGAGGATCAAGTGTGATAAGAAGTGATAGAGCAGGATTTAAATAAATCCTTCGATGCAAGTGGAAAGGTTTTGGATTGATAGGGTCTAAAACCCAGCAATTTCTAAAAAAAATTTCAATATTTTAACTATAAATAATGATGAAAAATAATTGAATAACTAACTTATCAATATCGTATAAATTAGTCCAAGTATCTTCTAAAACATCAGTTCTGGTTTTCAATGTTTCTGCTGCTTCACTCAATGTTGATATACAAGTTTCTAAAGGTGACCAGGATGATAACGTTGGTAAATCAGATGAAACAAATGTCCATTGACTAGTAGATATTTTTTTGTACTTGAGAATCATAGATGTATTTTTATATTCAAGTTTTACTAGATTTAAATTATCACCTGCTGATATAGTTATATCCTGAAATACATACATTATTTAATAAATAATCATGTTGATATTGAAAAATAATAATTACTTACAGGAATTGTTAAAGCAGTCTTTAGCTCATCTAAAATATCGTGATTAGACCAATCAATTTGAAATTTATAATCAAAGGTCTGTTTCTTCATAACAGTATTCTGAAATAAACAAAAAATCGTATTAAATGATTATAATAATAAAAAATTAAATGAAACTCAGTACTTACCAGCAACTTTTGAAGCTGACTTAAAAATGCCATGACTGAGTTGGAATTTTCTAACATCACAGATACTTTAGCAGTAAAATCAGTTCCATAAGTTAAAGAAACACTTTCACCAAAAAATATTCTTGCACCTTGCAATTTTGGATACTCTGGTACTTTTAGTTTAATCTTCATTTGTATTTCATTATTAATATTTAATAAACCATACCACGTGACTGGTTTTTCACTGATGAGAACCAAATGAGGATGCCATTTAATTATTTCTTGATATTCATTCATGATAATAATCTTATTGGAACCACTTGAACTATATTATAGCTTTATTCAAATTTAGGTTATTTTTATTAATATCACATATTATTTCTATTTCTAGTTGTTTAAATAATAAATTCAACAATTCATTTTCACTATCATTTATTTGAACTACAGTAATATTAAACCTTATAGAATGTGGATAAAAATAATGTAATATAATATTCTTGATGGACAGCTGAAGTGGTGGATGTTTACTAATACCACAAATGCGTAATCGTATCGAAATGTAATTGATCGGGTACGAAGAAATTGAATTTATTATACAATTATGAATGTTTCAAGGAAATAATTCCATCGAAGAGAAGACCAGATGGTATCAACATAGTTACAAAACTGAAAGAACTTGTTTTTAACACACAGAAGTTTTTGAATATTTTCAATTAAATATTGTAAGTTA